GCTGTCCCAGAATCATAAGCCAAATAAACCTCTGTTCTTTATAAATTACCTAGTCTCAGGTGCTCTGTTATAACAACACAAAATGAACTAACTAGTACAGTGACTTTCCACATTTAAGTGTTTTGCATCATTTAACAGTTTGTCTCCAGCCCAGAGCCTGAAGAAGCAGGCTTGGGAGAATGTTCCCTCTGAGCCACTTCTGGGAGGGGCCTCAGGGTGCTAAGGGTCCCCCAAGAAACCTAACTACCAGGTTCAGCTTGGGTGGTTTAGGAAGACATATGCCCTTTCTCTCGGTGCCACCTGCCCCAGTCTCTGCTGCTCCCACCCAATCCCCTGGAGCAGTGGGAAGGCTAGTCACGTGCATTCATTCCACCCTCTGCAGGCCAGGCTCAGACCATTCCAGGCAGATGAAAACCATTCAAGAGAGCGTGATTCTACCTTTGGCACTCCCTGGCCATGACGAATTCTCCCTGTTGGTAACCTAAATCCCCCTGGTTCCAGCCTACGTGGATGTGGAAATTAGCTTGTCACTTTATGGTTAAGAACACTTTCAAAACCAGTGTTGCGGGCCAGCCCGGTGGCGCACTCTGTAGAGTGCGGCGCTTGGGAGTGCGGCGGTGCTCCCGCCGAGGGTTTGGATCCCATATAGAGACCGGACCGCTCACTGGTTGAGCGCGGTGTAGGCACGACACCGAGAGTTGCGATCCCGTTGCCGGTCGCGGTACGGGCACGACACCGAGGGTTGCAATCCCATTACCGGTCACGAAAAAAAAGACAAAAAGGAAAAAAAAAAAAAAAAACCAGTGTTGCTAGTTGGGCTGACAGGGTGGGACTCACAGCAAAGCCATGTGGCCCTGACAGCCCACTGCCATACTTGCTCAAAAATTACCTGGAGCCAAGGCAGTGTTTACCCTTCAGGCTCTATGGAAGCCTTTACCAGGGATTTATTGGACTCTTTTCATCCCTTTGAGGCCCACACCATTTCATTCCAGCCCAAACACCGACCTAAGGATTAGAGAGGAAAGCAGTCCACCTCAAGCCTGCCTCCATTCTCCCAGCACTGGCTGATGGGCCAGAGGGGCATCGTTAGCCACATCCAAGGAGACCCTGTCCCAGAAGGAAGAGAGAACTATAGAATCTTCCTGGTAGCTGTAACCCTGCCCTGGTCAGATCACAAAAGCAGGTCCCAGGCCCCACTTGCTAGGATGCCCAGCCCAGGTGGTTACAGTCGGGCTCCAAGTAAAGGGGACTTGATGCTTGTAACAATGAGAGACACCAGATTCTGTTGCCCAAAGCTCCAGAGCTCTAGCATGCTCAAGGAGGCTGGCCCAATGACAAAAAGTGGAAACTATAACACCTGGAGAGGCAAGAGTTAAAAATTTCTCTCCCCAGACAAGGGTGCTTATCCTTTCCAAATAGCTAAAGCTTATTTTGCTTGGTGCAGACTTTCCCAATAAATCCAGGGCCTGTGGTGATTTACCAAGAGCCTTGGTTATTGGCAACAGCAATCTCACTTACACAGAGCAGCACTGAGAACAGGCCGTCATTTAGAGCTGGATTTATATTGTTTGTTCTACAGCAACAAACTCAGCAAATCATAAATTCCCTCTGAGATGAAGAGCAGAAATTGACAATATTTATGAACTCGAGAGGCAGAGAAGGACCCGACCAGGCCTTTGATTTGTAACTGAAACTTGTCCTGGAGGCTCCAGCCAAGGACGGGCTGTTGTCCCAGCCCCAGGGAGCTGGGCTCCGGCCAGGGAGTTGAGAGGCAGGGAAGGCATGTGCCAGGAGGTATTTCCAGCCTCACCATGGGATGCTCTGCAGGTGCTAAAGGCGAGACATTGCTCTGTGCTCACTAGGACAGTCAGCGACAAGGCAGACAGAGGCAGTCCTCAGACCATAAGCTTCCTCGTATCAGGGCGAGACTTGCTTGTGAAAACTCATTGTTCCACTGGTCTGGACATAAGTCTACTCATGTACTACTTTCTCAACATACCTGAAGTTTTATTTTTTATTTTTGTCTTTTTTGTGACCAGTAAGGGGATCGCAACCCTTGGCGTGGTGTCACCCCCACCGCGCTCAGCCAGTGAGCGCACCGGCCATTCCTATATAGGATCCAAACCCGCGGCGGGAGCATCGCTGAGCTCCCAGCACCGCACTCTCCCGAGTGCGCCACGGGGTCAGCCCATACCTGAAGTTTTAAAACTTATATTTCAGTCTATGTCCTGGATACTCCAAATGCCACCTCCTAACCACCTAAGAAAGGAATAGGGGAACAGAAGCCGACACACCAAAAACTCCACTTAATGTTTGAGAAGCAAGATGCGATAGTGCAAAGCCCACGAGGAACTGAGATGCTCTCAGCTTTCCTGATGGCTCTTCCAGAGCCCTCTGTAGTGTATTGAATTATGTCCCCCCAAAACTCACTGAAGCTTGAATTGTGTCCCCCAAGTTTTATGTGTTAGAAACTTAGCCCCCACTGTGACTATTAAGAGGGTGGGAAATCCTATTACGGTAATTGAAAGGTGGAGCCTTGAAGAGGTGATTGGATTGTAGGACCGTGCAGTAGTGAATGGATTAAAACTGGAGGTCAGGGGCGTGGTTCTGAGGGCTTTAAAAGAAGACAGGAGTCTGTCCTGCTCTCTCTGCTCTCTCTGTTTTCACCATCGTGCAATGTGAGACTCCTGGGTCACTGTTGCCACCACCAGGTGGACTTTGGACTTCCCAGCCTCAGAAACTGTAAGCTATAAATTTTGTTTTTCTTTATAATTACCCAGTTCCGTGTATTTTTTTATAAGCAACAAAAATGGATTAAGACACCCTCCTTTTTTCTTCTTTCCTCCTCCAACCCCGACTCCACCCTCCTTCCCTGCGCATCACCACCACCAAGCCCTGGCCCCTTTTAAGCCTTCCCCAGCACTCCTGGCTTTCCACTGTGGCGCTGTGTGGCTCTGGGGGAGTCACTTTCTCATGTGACCATATTACCCCCACTGCCTCCACTTCCAACCATCTAGATACATGAGGAAATGTGACGTGGAAACACCTTTCAGCCATGCACCTCAGAGGCCCTGGGCTGCCCACGCCTGCCCCACGCAGCCTCTGGGGAAACGTTTGGTCCAAGAACCAGCCACGGCCTTTAGCCACTGCTGACACCCACACAGGAAGTTGGCCACGGTGACTAGACTGGGCTGCCCACGCCTGCCCCACGCAGCCTCTGGGGAAACGTTTGGTCCAAGAACCAGCCATGGCCTTTAGCCACTGCTGACACCCACACAGGAAGTTGGCCACGGTGACTAGGGACCGGCTGCGTCCCAGAGCCATGCCGGGCTGAGGCAGGATGCTCACCCAGGCTCTCAATCATTGTGTCTAGTGCAGTCACGGCGGCAGCATAAATCCCCGAGTTCCTGGAGTTGAGGTTGTCTGCAACAGCAACGACGATGGAGAGCAGCATGGGCTGCAAGCTGTCTTTGAGGAGAGGGATCATCTTGGCGAGGGACTCCAGCGCCCACTGGTTCACTTTCTTGTTGGAATCCTGAAGCCTTGGGGTGAAAGCATCAAAGACCTATTGAGGGAACAGAAACCAAGAGCCCATGGGAACCGGGCTGGGCAGGAGTCCCACAGCTCCAGGAACTGGACTTGCCCGGCCCAACCAACCACCCTGGCAGGGACTCCTCCTGCACCCTGACAGCAGCCATCCAGCCTGTGCCAGGACGGTGATGAAGAGCTCCTCAGAAGGGGGCGTGACAGGGAGGAACTTACCTGTCTGGAGCGCACATTGCATGTGAGTGTCAGGAGCATATTGTTAGGTGCCCCGCACTCTTTCACTGAATGGTCACTCAGATAGATTACCGTCCCCACTTTCCCAGAAACAACAACTGAGGCTCAAGGAGCTTAAACGACTTGCCTCAGATCACACAGCTGTTAAGAACCCGGACGGACACCCGGGTCAGCTGACCCTGAGCCTGTGTCTGCGCCCTGCTACATGGCTGGCTGCCAGCAGCCTCGCCCCAGGAAGAAGCAGCAGCCTCCCTGGGGCTCAGCCTGTGACAGGCTTGTACCCTCTCCTAACACAGCTGTCCAGGCACATGCTGTGTCCCCAAACATTATGCACATAACTAAGCACAAGCGCCCAGGCTTGGCCATGGTATCCTCTACCTCCTACCTCCTCACCATAGTCTGCCAGAGGGACGAGAGATGCCAGGACCTCCTGAGCATTTCCAAGGCACACGGCAGGAGGCAGTGCCCTTGCCCCTCAGTTACCCCCACGTAGTCTTTCTGCATTACAGAGGGCATGTTTATCAGGCTCCTTATTCACTGAGAGGTCTGACACAATGTCCAACCCTGTTCAGAGTTTCCCAATGGAAGTGGCACCTGCAGAGGAAGACAGGTGGGAGGGCAGGGCGGGCAGTGCCCACCTGGACCAGGTTGGCAGCGATGACCTCTGGCTTGGTCCTGCAGTGCTCAAGGAGCCGCCCCACGCCTTCCATCCGAGACTGGTACTCCTTGGCCTCCAGCAGCCGCGTCAGCGCCCGCAGCTGCTCCACCATCTCCACGCCACCCCGCAGGGAGGAACGCAGCCCTGCCAGCCGGGGGCCACTGGGGCCGAGCCTACGAGGAAGGCATGTCTGACCCCTGGGGAAGAGCCCCAAGGGATGAACATACCTCTTGTCCCATGCCCCCTCCCACAGGCAAGTGGGACAGAGACAACAGTGTCACCTGCAGCTTAGTCCACCCCCAGCTTCTCCTACACCTGCTGCTTGGGAACACTTGGCCTTGGGAACTCTGGAAATCTCTTTTCTTCTGAGGACAACAATATGGTTGCCTAGGGCCCCTTCCCCTAGTCAGGGGGCAAGGCTCTCTCTTCCTGCCTCCTTTTCTCTCTTCAGAAGGCATGTGAAGACCAGGGGAGGGTTGGAGTGAGAGGGTAGTATCCATGAAAGGATGGCTGGTACACATTTAACCTAATGGGGAAAGGTCTTGGAAGTCATGCCCAACCTTCTGCCCTGTGCCTGCCCTGAGCCATGGCTGCCTAGGCTCTGCCCACACTTCTCCAGTACTAGGGAAACAGGATCACACGCCCATCACAGCCCCCTGGCCCATTCCAGCCAGCATGGAAGCTTCTCCATATAGAACTATCTCCCACCCCCAGCTCAAAGCCTGGGCCACTGAGCTCATGCCCTACACCCTGGTCCCACCCAACAGAGCCCAGCATCATTCATTCTGTCATTCATCCCTGCCTTCCACACTCTGCCCACCAAGTGCTGAGAGCTATGCTGGGCACTGAGAGCAAAGAGATGAGAGACAGATCGTCACCTGTAGGAGCTCACAGACCAATGTGACCAGTAAGTCAGCTGGGCTGACAGAGGAGTGGAGAACAGGGGCAGCCTGTCTACCCTGAGGACATGGGGGCGCAGTGTCAGGGAGAGCTTCTGGGAGAAGGTGACAGCTGAGCTGAGTCTTGTAGGATCAATAGACACGTTCTAGGTGTAGATGGCACAGCATATGCAAAGGCACAGTAGGGAGGGGGACACAGAGGGGCAGGAACATGAGCTGCTCTGGTCTGGCTGAGAGTGTGCAGGAAGTCACTCTGGAAGAGCTGGGTGGGATCATCCCTGGTGCCCTGCTACAGAGGTCAGAGGTGATCCTCCCAGGACACTGCAGAAGGGTCTAAGTGTTAAGCACAGGAGTGGCTATTGGATTCCTGCTTGGTTTCCATTGCTCCCAGAACCCACCCTCCAGCCCCCTAGCCCATGCCTTCTCATTGGGCTTTGTTCCAGCTCTGCCTCTGACCTAGTCCCAGGCTGGCCACTCTGGTGGTTAAAGGATCTGCTGATCTCAGTGAATGGAGAAACACTGAGTTTACACAACGAGCCGGACCAACAACGCATCCCACCTGTACTAGCAGAACTGCATCCACTCGGCCAAGACCGCAAGAACCAACTTCTACTGGCAGATGCTCCTGAGCCCAGAATTTGGTCTCACTGAGGTTTAGGTGGGGAAACACAGCCTACCAATTCATCCATTAGTGCTGCAGTCCCAACTAGGTCTCCACTGTACCCTAGACCCGCACATCCACCCCAGAGCCACCCCTAGACATGGGCGAGCAGGCCACCTCCATGGGCAGTCCTGGATGTGGGACCCAGAGAGACTAGAGCAGCCATACCCCTCCTCGATGGGCAACACGTTCTCACACACCACCAGACTCCTCGAAACCTTGTGGCCTTTGGCAGATGGAAGTTCATCATTATCTTCTATCCCCTTGAAAAATACACACAGAGCATAAGTAAAAAGGAGTGGCTCTCTAGGAAACTGCCAGACATTCCAGCATAGACCACGACAAGAGGAATAAGCTTCAGAGGTCATGGCTGAGGCTTCCAGAGCCCTGGAAATACCAGGCAGAGACCAAGAGCCCCGTTTAACTAACAGATGAAGGTGTGGAGGCACAGGCAGGCTCAAGGGACATTGGCAGTGAGGGGTAGAAGCAGGTATGAGCAGAAATCACATTTATGCCACCCACCAGGAGTAATGGGTGAAATTAAAGCCTCTGGAATCCACTCCCCACTTCTGTGACCCACACGAGGGCTGCCAGGCTCAGCTCCAGTCCTTGTCCCCGAAAAACTCACTCACACTCCACCAACTCACCCGCTGTTTGATGGCTGCCATGACCTTCTGCAAGTCATGGGATGGCAGGGACTGCTTCAGAAATGCATCAAACTTAGTGTTTGCCATCAAGATATTCACCATCTTCCGGCCATAAAATCTGACATAGGAGAGAGCAAGATGAAGAAACAGCCGTAGAAATGCATAATAAATTTGCTTTACTGCTTTACATAATTTTTCTCATTATGGTAAGAGGGTTTTTAATACATTTTCTAATTATGAAAGGAATCCCTACCCAGTTGAAAATTAGATTCATAAAAGAATAAACATCATTCATAATCCCATTACCAAGAGAAAATCACTGCTAGATTTTTACATATTTTCTTATTGTCCTTTTTTTATGTATGTACATTTAGATGATGTTGGAATGTACGTACAACTTGTATTCAGCCTTTTCATTAATCATCTTTCCATCTCATTTAAAACTCTTAGTAAACATCCTTTTTAATGGCTGTACAATATTCTGTTGAATGGCTATCCCAAAATGTACTTAGCTTTTTCTCTATTATGGGACATTTAGAAGTCTGAGGAAGATTGCAGTGGGACAGTATAGGAGGGAGTGGTCAACTCTACCTGGTGACTGGGGGTTCAGGGGGTATCAAGGAGGGCTTCATAGAAGAGGTGACCCATGGCTTGGAACTCAAAAGATGAGTAGGAGTTCACAAGTGGGGAGGGATTAGGAAGTAAGTAGGAGAAGATGGGCCATTCTGGGATCCATAACAGGGTCTGACACATCAACAGGATGTAGCTGAAAAACAGTGGGCAGGAGCTGGTCACAAGAAGAGAATAGGCTGGAGAGGAAGGCAGGACCAGCAGGTGATGGGAAGCTGAGGAATGATCAGATTTGCATGTTAGGCAAAATATCTCTGGCAGCAGTGTGGAGGATGGGTGGTGGGGACAAAGCTAGGGGCCAGGAGACCTGTCAGGAGGCCACCTTCATAGCCCAGGCAAGAGATGGGGAAGGCCTTAAATAAGGCAGTGGAGTGGGGATGAGAAACGGTGGTCAGATTCGAGAGCTGCTAAGGAGGCTGAAACTGCAGGGTTTGGTTGCTGGTTGGAGGTGAATTACCATATTTCACTCAACCTAAGACTCTACAGATTGTAACATGCACCATTATTTTATTTTCTATGAAGGAAAAATAGAAAAAGAAAACACTGGCCATTTCTGCTGCCTTCAGTGACACTGCCCATTTAAATGCTATCTCAACTCTCACCATGTGATCTGCTTCTACCCACCGGCTGCCTGCCACTTTCCGCCATGAGTAGAAGCAGCTTGAGGCCCGTGCCAGATGCAGCTGTCCCAGAATCGTAAGAGAAAGGACAACCACAGGAAGTAAAATTCACGGTTGCCATGGAGAGGCCCGCTCGGTAGAGACCGGAAGTTGGCGCCGCGGGGGGCGGAGTCGGAGCGTGGCTTTGAAGCCTTGTCCGCCGCCATCATGAGCGGCCGCAGTAAGGGTCGGAAGAACTCCCGTGCCAAAAGCCGAGGCAAAGGCCACGCCAAAGCCCCAGTCCGTGCTCCTGACGACGGTCCGCACCACCCGGACCCTCCACAGTTCCAGAGGCTGGAGGAAGACACCACGGTGGCACAGGTGCCGGCTGGCGCGGGTTGGGGTGGCCTGGAAACCGCTGCGTCTGCGCCGTGCCCCCGGCCCGGGGAGGAGGCTGCCCGCCGACCCCCCGTGGACTGTGGCCTAGCGCTCTGGGCCCGAGCTGCGGGGGACCAAGGGCAGGCCGCGACCAGGCCCGGCCTGGGGAAGGCCACTTCTATCTCGGAGCGCCTGTCCACAGACACTGTCTTCGTGGGAACTACGGGAACCGTGGGAAGGCCGAAAAATGGCCCCCGCATCGGAAATAGGCGTGGCCCAGCTGGGAAGAAGGGCCCAGAAACCCATAGTGCCGTGGGGAGGGCACCTCAGGCCATAGCTAGTGGAAAGCCGAAGAAAGGGACGGCCAGGGAGTGTACCTCCGTCTCAATGGAGGAGGAAAAGAAGGTGGAGAAGAATGCAGGGTCAGGGCCCCCTGCGACAGAAGGCAGCATGGATACTCTGGAGAATGTCCAGCTGAAGCTGGAGACCATGAACGCCCAGGCGGACAGGGCCTACCTTCGCCTGTCGCGCAAGGTTGGGCAGTTGCGACTGCACCACTTAAAGCAGAGGAACCTCCTGATCCAGAATGGCCCTGGCTTCTGGAGGCAAGCTTTTCAGAACCACCCCCAGCTATCATCCTTTCTGAATAGCCAAGATAAAGAGGTACTCAGCTACTTGAACAGCTTGGAGGTGGAAGAGCTTGGCCTTGCCAGATTGGGCTACAAAATCAAGTTCTACTTCGGCCGCAACCCCTATTTCCAAAATAAGGTGCTCATCAAGGAATATGGGTGTGGTCCTTCAGGTCAGGTGGTGTCTCGTTCCACTCTAATCCAGTGGCTCCCAGGGCCCAGCCACCACTCCCCTAGTCCAAGCCTCCAGCCCATCTTGCCTGGGTTGTGACCTAGCCATCTGTCTGGGGTCCTTCCTCCATCCTTACCCCTCTCCCCAACTACCAACCCTCCAGCAGCCAGAAAATTTTAAAAAAGAAAAAAATCAAATCGCTAGCAAGCATATAAACAAACACTCAGACTCATAGAAATCAGCGGGGAAAGCACTCTGAAGAAACAATGAGCTGTCACTTTTATTAGATTGATAAAAATTTTAAACCCAGATGTTGCCACACGTTGACCAGGCTGTGAGGATGTAGGCAGCGCCTTGGCCAGCAGGAGCGGGCAGCACGCTGGACAGCTCCAGCCATGCTCTGAGCGCTCACGTGCCCCTGGCCCCAGTGCTGCTCCTGGGCCTGCAGGTGTCCCCAAAGACATTACCGCTCGGGGCGACACTTGCAAGGAGGTTACGTGCAGCACTATTCGCAGTGGTGAATAACGGGAGGAATAGCAGCGCTGCATCCCTCCGAGGTACCCTCGGAAGTGGGCACCCCACGAGAATGCACCACCTGCAGGCAACACTGATGCAGGGTGGGCGTGGCCCCTGGAGCCGGGCCAGGTGTGGCGCAGAGTCCCACGAGGTGGGGATGGAATGAGGGAACTAGACATTCACACTCACATCCAGACAGACCTGGGGATATAAGACACTGTGAACTGAGAAGTGGGATCAATTGGACCCCAGCCTTAGTTTTTTGTTGTTGTTGTTGTTTTCCTTTTTGTCTTTTTTCGTGACGGTAACGGGATCGCAACCCTCAGTGTCGCGCCCGCACCGGGCTCAGCCAGTGAGCGGACCGGTCTCTATATGGGATCCGAACCCTCGGCAGGAGCGCCGCCATGCTCCCAAGCGCCGCACTCTACCAAGTGCACCACCGGGCCGGCCCCAGCCTTAGCTTTTGAAGACAATCAAACAGATCTTACCAATCTCCTGCCCCCTAAACCTCCCTAAAACCCCGAAAACCAACCCCCTAAAACCTCCTTGTGCTCCTCCTAAATAATCCTCCAGCGACTTCCTATCACATGCAACCCAAAATCTCAACTCTCAACCTTGGCCTCTGAGGCTCTCCGTGATCTGGGCCTGCCCACCACTCCTCCTGACTCGTCCTGCTCCACCCAGGCTGGCCATCCTCACCCTTGAACACCAGACTTGTTCCCGTGCAGGGACCTTGGCACCTTTTCCTTTGCCTGGATCTCTCACGCCAGATCCTCAAAGAGCTGGTTCCATCTAGCTGTTCAGTTTTCAACTCAAATATCACTTTTAAAAGATCTCCTCCAACCCTCAATCTAAAATAGCTCCCACCCCATTCTCTGTTGCATTTTCTTGACTTTTTCCTTTATATCCCTTATCTGTATCTATAATTATCATAAATATTTATTTGTTTATTATCTGTCTCCCCAGCGAGGAGGTAAGCCCCAAGACAAGAGGGGTTTAATTTTCCTTCCAGCGCTGCCCATATGGGGATTCAGTCCTTGCCCTTGGTGTTGTAGCACTGCATTCTAACCAACTGAGCTGACTGGCCAGCCCCAATTTTTCTTATACCTTGTTGTATCCATAATAACAAAAAGAGTGTTCGTTAAATATCTCTATAACAAATGACTGAATGGCCTTACACAGAATGGAGCTGGGGCGGCATAGAAACGAGAGCAGCATTGCCATGGGTGCGGGTATGGAAGGTGAGGGCCGGGAGTACTGACCACTCCTTCAATGGGCATGGCTATGACCTTAGACACAGGGCAACAGCTGGAAGGAAAGGGCACAGCGTCCTCCATCTGACTGTCCCTCTGCACAATTCCAGGCAAGCTGGGCTGCGTGGCTGGGCCCCTGGCCCTGTCCTACCTGGTGTCCTGGTTGGAGTCCTGGGCCAGCCTCACCAGGTTATGCACCAGCATGTCTGTGCTGTCCCTGGTGCCTGAGAGAAGCTTCTCAGCGCCGATCTGCTCCAGGACAGCCGAGAGGTGCTCAGCAGTGCATTTCCGGACTAAGGGGTTTCGATGGCTGAAAGGAAACACAGCCACAGCCAAGGGGTCAGTCACGAGATGGGGGTGTGGGGGCCACCAGATGGGCCACATGGACCTACACTTGTAGACTCATGTTTCAGGCCAACTGTGGGCTCCAAACTTACCCCTTGTGGGCTGAGGGGCGTCTTTGAGGAAAGAGCACTTGCTGCCTAACAATAGGGTGACTACAGCTTCAGGGCAGAGGGGAGAACGAGCACATCAGGCTACATGATGTCACCAGGACACCTCGTGCTTACCCTTCTCAGGCCTTCCCAAGCACGTGCTCTCCCTTTTGTCTACACACACGTCCCCATCCTCCCTGCACCTAGAAAAATCCTACCCAGTCAGTGTCTCCTCTTCCTTCCCCAGCCCACAGGCAGAATTAGATGCTCCCTCTGGGAAGGGCAGTTGCTCCCATGAGAACCCCATGAGGCTGCCAGCTGCCTGGGAGCAGGACCAGGTCTCCCTCTGCTGCATCCCCAGACCCCTGCTGGTGCCTGGCACATGCCTGGCTCTTAGCAGGAGCTCAATGTTCACTGGTTGAACTGGATTGAAACAGGAGGGAGGGAGAGGGATTAGTGGGTGATTTGGAAACTGTATCGGCTGGAACCTGAACTCTCATAAGAGAAACCCATCATAAGGATGTCACCTCTTTCAAACAGGGCCGCTGTGTCCACAGTCCATCAGGCAACACTGATCCCTATCTTCCCCTAGAGTCCCACCTCAGTGCAACACAAGCGGGACCCCAGAGCTCTCCCTACTCAGTGTGGCCCATGGACCAGCAGCACCGGCATCTGAATCAGAATCTGCGTTTCAGTCCCAGGGGACTCAAATGCACAAGTCCTGCTCCGGGCTTCCCCTGAGGATGCTCAACACTGGTTCTTGATTTGGAAACTGTATCGGCTGGAACCTGAACTCTCATAAGAGAAACCCATCATAAGGATGTCGCCTCTTTCAAACAGGGCCGCTGTGTCCACAGTCCATCAGGCAACACTGATCCCTATCTTCCCCTAGAGTCCCACCTCAGTGCAACACAAGTGGGACCCCAGAGCTCTCCCTACTCAGTGTGGCCCATGGACCAGCAGCACCGGCATCTGAATCAGAATCTGAGTTTCAGTCCCAGGGGACTCAAATGCACAAGTCCTGCTCCGGGCTTCCCCTGAGGATGCTCAACACTGGTTCTTTTGGGTGATGACCAGTTGCCACCCCTCTGCACTGAGCACCTTTTATCCCCTGCCTCACACCAACCCCATAAGCTACTGTTATTACCATCACTTTGCAGGTGAGGAAGCTGAGGAAAAGGGAGGAATCTGAGAAAAGTACAATGAATTTCTCCCAAGTTAATTACAGTCACAGTGAGCGCTCAATACATGTTAGGTAGAGGCAGGCAGTGTTTTAACTGCTCTTTCATGAAGCAATTCATTTGCTCCTCATAACAACCACATGAGGTAGACACCATTGGTATCCCCATTTTACAGATGAGGAAACTGAGGCACAGAGAAGTAAAGTAACAATCCCGGGTGTGAACACAGTGTGGCCCTGGAGCCCCAGCTTCTGCAGTGTGCTGCAGTCCAGTTAGCGAAGACCCACTGGCTGGTCTCACAGGCCCTGGGGTCTACTGAGAAGGCTCCGTGTCAATGTGCAGATTGACTCACTGGTGGAGACACGTTCTACCCCGTGGGAGAAAAGTCTTGGGAAATGCTTTTGGTTTTGCTTTGGGTTTGGGTTTTCACTTAAGGAGAAAGCAAATCTGGCTGCAGAGAGGCTCTAATCGTAGCCTCACCCCGCCCCCCCTCGTCCCCAGGAGAAGGCGCCAGCTGAAGCATTAGATTCCGTGCCTTGTTCTCACCGGCCCAGGTTTCATCAGAAAGAAGCACAGCTCCCCTGGGAGGGGCAGGAGTTCCTCTGCAGCTGCCTCTGCAGCCCTGTCGCCAGTCTCCTGGGGCATTGCCAGGGCCACCTCCGTGCTCCCCAGCCTTGGAGCAGAACAACGGCCCCTGTCCTCTTCCAGTCAGGGCTCACCTCTTTATCCCCAGGCTGGTTCAGAAAATGTGGGAGAGAAGCCCACCAGGAAGCAGGGTCCTCCTCCCCAGCCAAATGTGTGAGGCTCTTGTGTGAAGCCTGAGGGGTGCCCTGTCCTCACTCTGACCTCTGACCCAGCACCCTGCTAACATCCCAAGGGACCTGCCACAGCCTCTCCTTCCCACCTCCCTGCCTCCCTGTCCCTTGCTCCCATCCTTCCCTCCTCCTCTCCCATCCCGTGGCTTCTCCCCTCGCCCCACTCTCCCTGACCATCCCCATCCCTCAGACAACAGGCAGCCACGTACTAGACGCCCGATGAGGTGAGGGCCACCAGGGAGCGAGCAGGGGTCACATTCTCCACCATGGCCCCCAGGGACCGGTTGGCTGCTCTCTGGATGAACTCGCTGGTGTTCCCCATCTTCCGGAGCAGGCATTGGGCGATCTCCTCCGCCTCCTGGTCCATATTCTTCTTCAAGGCCCGGAAGAGGTCTCCCAGGGTGCTGATGGCCAGGCGGGACACCTTGGAGCGGAGGTTGGTGACCTTGGAGAGAGAGAAGAGGTGCCCTCCAGGACTGCTGGAACAAGCAGAGCTGGGAGAGCGCCACCCCCTCCCACCGCCCCACCCTCGCCCCGGGCCTAGGCTCCCACACTGGCAGCAAAACCCTGCAGCAGCTCTGGCGTGACAGTCCCACTTTGTTATCATCATTACTAGTCCCATCATGATTGTTATCATCTGGTAACTCTTAGTCTTCAAAGCACTTTTGCAAATAATTTCCAATTTGGTCTCCACAGCTGCTGTGGAAAGTAGGTACATGGCACACATTTTGCAGAGGACGACACAGAGCCCCCAGGCCTCACACAGGAAGGCACAGAGCCCTGACAGAGCCTTTTTGTGTGTCAACACAGTGTCCTCTGTATTCACCGCCCACCCCACCCCCACTGGACAGTCCATTCCCAAGGGTGGGGCCCGGCCTCCACGCGACATCAGATGCCTTTCACTGTCTCTCTGGGCCCAGCCCAGACCCAGCCCCAGCCATGGGAGAAAGGCTCTGGGAAATGCTACAACTGGTCTGAAGTTGGGGGTCTGGCCCAGAACACTCCACCCCTCCTAAAGCATTTTGAGTACAAAGGACAATGCAGGACTGTGACAAATGAGCACACGGGATTCTGATTGTTTCAGCTCATGAAGGTCACAAATAAGGAAGCCCCACGGTTCAGCTTTCCAGTCTGAGAAATGGGTGGCTGAGGGCCGAGAAACAAGCAGGGCCGCTGTGCTGCAGGGCGCCCCGGCCCTCTGCAGCTGCTGTGTAACCGCATCCAGCAGCTGCCCCGGGGACGGGAAGGGGCTGGGGTGGGGACAAGGTGCGCAGCACGTGGGCTGTCTGGGAGGCCTCACCTCCCCGGTCACTGCCAAAGACACGTCATGCAGCCTTCCGGCGAGGACCTCTGCATGACAGGCAGCCAGGCGCCGGATGCTCCCCAGGCCCTTCTCCTTCATCTGCCTGAGAAGCAAGCCCAGGCCCAGTCACTGGCAGCTGGGGACAGGGGGCCCTGCTCACTCTGCAGACCAGGGCCCCGAGTCGCCACATCCCCCCCACACACAGCGGGGTGGGGTTTCATGGCCTCCAAGGCAGGGTTTCCTGGGGTAACACCTTGGTCCCAAATTGCAGCCATTGAGTAAAAGCCACCACCCAGCCCTCAACTGTGGCAGTGCTGGGATCAAAGCCCACCCCTGGGACCTGTTTGGAGTCATGGACATGAAGTGAGAACTGAAGACCGAGGAGGGCTTCCCACAGATGCTCCGGACCCCAAGTCATCACTTTGCTCACAGCTAGGATTTTGTGTCCCACCACCCCGTGGGAGGAACACGCAGAACCAATTAAATTTGACTTAGAGAAAGAAAGGCTGTGACCTTTCTCGGGCCCTGTGCCATAGAGTCAAATTCACACTGGTGTGTCACAGAGCAGGGCACAGGTGGCTTGGAGGGTCCCAGGACACAAAAAGCTAGAGACGGCACACACACATGCACACATGCACGTACACACATACACACGCACACTCCTCCTGCCACGCGACCAGAGCCCTGGAGTAGGAGGGGAGGGCCGTGGGGAGGGGGCAGGAGCTGTTCTGCAACACGGCCCCACCCCCCACAGCGCACATGGGAAGGTGCCTCCTCACCAGTCGCTGCTGTTGAGGCACTGGAGGGCATCCACCAACCCCAGCTCCGGGTTCAAGAAAGGCCTCAACTCCTTAAAGGCCCTGGGATCTGTCTCCTCCTCCTCTTCCCATTCAGGAGACCCCAGAGTGAGCACCGCAGGTAACGAGTGAGCTGCATTCACAAAAAAGAAAAGAAACAGGGCAGGCATTACCCAGGAGGACAGGCAGGTGCCCTGGGTGGCTGCTCCTTCCAGCCCCTACCCTGAGAGGCCTGGGCCGCAGCACTGAGGCCACCTGAGGACTACGAAGCCAGCACCTGGGCTTCTCTCCCAGGGAGCCAAGGTGACCACCTGACTGTCTACTTTTTGTTGACTTTTTCACTCCTGCCATTGCCAGTGTGATTATTATAAACAAACTGGCTTGTGATATGCTCTTGATGTCATGTGACAAAGCACACTGAGCCAGTGACTCACCTGCGGTCCTGCCCTGTCTGTGGGTGGGGGGAGGCCCAGTGAGTCTGAGAATGACTCCCTTGCTCACGCCGGTGGTGTTCTAACCTCATTCCCCTCCTGGGAGCCCATGTTTTCAGCTTCTCCTTCTCTCCTCCTACTGCCCAGCCTTTGGTGAAGTTGCCCAGGAGCAGGGAAATGGTACAGAGGCAGATGGCTGGAGGAAGGCAGGGGAACAGTAAAAAGCACCCATGCGCCAACATAGCCAGTCAGCACCCACATGGCCACAATGTGGCTGCACCTGCAGCGAGTGACAACAGGCAGGGATGCTATTACAAAATCAGGTGAAGAGAAGTGGTGGACTGACGGGTCCTGTGCAGTCTACCCTAAGTGATGGCTGGAGGAAGGCAGGGGAACAGTAAAAAGCACCCATGCGCCAACATAGCCAGTCAGCATCCACATGGCCACAATGTGGCCGCACCTGCAGCGAGTGACAACAGGCAGGGATGCTATTACAAAATCAGCTGAAGAGAAGTGGTGGACTGACGGGTCCTGTGCAGTCTACCCTAAGTAAATCATTGTGCAGAATATGCACGTATTGAAACAACACACTGTACCCCACAAATATGAACGAGTAAATGTTAAAATTTTATTTATTTTTTTTTTAATTTTAAAATTTTTAAAATAAAAATCAGATCATGTTTTCTAGGCTCTTAGTCATAGAGAACAGATGCTAGAATCATCAAATTTTAGAACAGGAAGGAATTTTTGAGGCCATCTATCTAGTCCAATGCCCCAATCACATAGTCGAGGTATCAGAGGTCCAGAGAGGCTAGGGGACCCTATCCAGAGCTCTCGCGACCACGTCTCCAGAGGTCCACCTTCAGGGGGATGATTTTCACTAAGCACATCCAGGAAGTCCTGGGCAAATCTGAGTTGAGAGGCAGACTTTTTCTTAAAACCAAGACACAAAGACCTCATTCTTGGATTCACCGCTCAGCTCCACCACTGGTACGTGAAATGGTCTCTTACTCAGTCCTTCAGGTCACCCACCCTCTGGTACGCAAGAGGTAACATCCAACCTCCCCGCATTCCCTGCACAACATGCACATAAATTACATGCCATCTGTCCAGCTCTCAAAAAGAGGCATTGGTCTTCAGGAACAAGCAATCCAGCCTCCTACCACCCCAGCCCAGCCTCCATCTCACCCTCCAAGGGCATGTGGCGTCCACCTAGATTTACAATCAGACCCACAGAAGGCACCAGCAGGGGTGCCAGCTCCAGTCTCTGTGTCTACCTTTGCCCACCCTAGCCCTGACAGCTTTTCAATAACATTCATATTTATGCTTTTTAGTTCAGTAATTTCCACTCTTTGCACACCAAAACAGAAGGAATTGTGTAGGTACAGCTAAGCTCACCTAAACCAACCTGGTCTCCTGAGAAAAGCTAGAAGCCCACAGGATTTATTAGGAGGCTCAGGAGGACACCAAGTTTACAATTCTGAAATGCTATCATTTCCAACCAGACCAAAAAGTAGACACAGGTCCAAACTATACAGCAACTTAGGTGATTCTTTGCTTATTGTCAGGAGAGAGGAAGCAGAAGACAACGATGAGGAGGATTCAAATTCAGCTTCCAGGGAGGTCGTGGGAGGAGAATGTTGGCCTTTTTTCTTAACTCCAACAATCTAACTTACCTGAAGATCTTATTCTACCCACCCACTCACCCACACAAACATACACAGTTTAAATAATGAGACATAACAACAGACTATACAGGACCAAGAGTGATGAACCAAAGCCTTAGTCCCTAGGGGCCACCATCACCTTGAGTGACCTTGGGTGACCTTGGGTCTCTGGGTCTCAGTTCTACTGTCTATAAAATGAGTGGGTTGGGTTAGATAGATCAATATTTCCCAGTGTCAGTCATTCAATTACCACTTTCATGGGTTTTTTGCAGTATCTCTTAATTACCTGTACTTTTATTTACATTGTATTTTTCTTCAAATAAAACCACCTTTTAAATCCTTGAGTGGGTTGGGTTAGATAGATCAATATTTCCCAGTGTCAGTCATTCAATTACCACTTTCACGGTTTTTTTGCCATATCTCTTAATTACCTGTACTTTTATTTACATTGTATTTTTCTTCAAATAAAACCACCTTTTAAATCCTAAATAAATTTATGTTAAAGGGAACTTTATGTTACTACCATAATTGGTAAACTACTATTATTTGTCATAGAACATGATAAATATTTACGATAAAATTTTTTAAATGTCAAAAACTCTAACTATAAAATTATAGCCTGCTTCTGATGTCTTGGACCTGAAGGAGGATTTCTGTTAAAAAAAAAAAAAGAGGTGCAAAAGCCTAGCACCAAATTAAGGCTCTATACTTGATGCAATCAAAAGGATAGAACGAGGATTGAGAAGGGAGGTGAGTGAATATTATTTACAGCACACAACTATGCTCTATTCTACCATCATTGTCTACCACATCCCACACTTAAACAGACTCTGAACCATGACGGTTGTTTCCAAGTGTTTTCAGAAGCAAAATCTCTTCAAATGAAATCTCACATGAACGCCCAGTACATAAAAAAGTGAAGCAAAACAGAAGCTCCTCTGGTGGAATGGGGACAGAACCTCCCCCGTCCCTTGGCACCTTCCCTAAGGTGCCCTAGTAGGACCTTTGGATCCTCTTGTCTAAGTCTGTCACTAGCCCTGTCCAGCCCTGGCATTTTATGAAGCAACAGGCAAGAAACCAGGGTCTTCCCAGAACCCTCCCTTCCTCTTCCTGGTGTTTCCAGCTAACTTTCTTGGATACTGTTTTCCAGCATCTTGGATCCTGGTGTATTGGAGACTCCTCTAGGACATGTCACATAGGTGGGGCACACCTGCCCAGTCACTCACTACTCTAGCTGTGATATCCTGGGTCCCCAGTCTGGCCCATAGACATTTATGAGTACCAGACACTGTTTCTCTCTCTGGCAAAGTGACTGCCACCCCAGGCTGCCCCCTAGTCTCACACAGGCAAGGAACAGAAGCAGAGCAGCTGAAGTCGCCTTTGCCATGTCCCAGAGCATCCCAAAGCTGCACAGGCAGAGGGACGCATGCCCCGTCAGTCGGGTCTGGGCCCCACCTGAAGCATGGCGGGCAAAGCTGGGCTCCTGCTTGCTGACGGGGATGCTGGGCAGCGAGGACCGGCTGGCTCGCTTCCTCGGGATGATGCTCAGGTTGTTTCTGTGTGGGCTGCTCAGTCCTGTGGCCACAGACAGGGTCCCGCTGCCCCGGAGGGGAAGGAGGCCTGTGGAGACAGAGAAATTGCTAGGACTGAGCGGGTCCTGACTGCCCCTGGCTCCAGTGTCCTCCTTTGGAAACGGGCCCATCAGCAGCCTTCGAGAGAGTAGATGTGGAGCCCTGTCCAATCTCAGGATGGGAGGGACGGGAGCTGGGGGCCACTTCTCTTTTGGAGGGTGGAGAACTCAGGAGTTGGCCGAGGAGTCTCCTCGGCCTGAGGGAATCCCGCCCCAGGCACCCAGTACCTTCCTTCATTAAGGTTCTCCGGCAGCCCCGGCTCTGGGAAGCCAGCTCCTGCTCCCTCTCCGGCTCCTCCGCCCTCTGCAACATCTCCATCTCCTTCATCTGCTTCAGCCGCATCTTCTCCTGGGCAGACTTGGAGATGGTGACTTGGATCTGGCACAAGGTCAAGGCAAACTCCATGAGCCTTGGGGACCCAACAGTACATTCTATCCCTTCATTCATTCAATTATAAAAAATGTGAGTGCCACCTACACGCCAGTCGCTGTCCTGGGAGTGGACAAAAACGACCAAGTCTTTTTTCCCAAAGAGCTTCCTGGAGTGGGGGACAGACAATAAACAGACCAATCTCCAACATCAGGCAATATTTGCTAAAAGAAAGGGACACAGAGGTGACAGTGACCTTTCAGTTAAGAAGGCCCAGAGAGATTCTCCAAGGAGGTGAAATTTAAGCAGAGACGTACATAAAGGGAGGGAGCAGGCCGTGCAGATTTCTAGGAGAGAAGCGTCCTAGGCAGAGGGAGCAGATGCCAAGGCCGGGGGCTGGACTGTGCTTGGCAGACACTGGCTGGAGCACTCCGAGTCAGAGGAGTATAGGACACAAGGTCGGGGAGGTGGCAGGACCCATAGCACACTGGACCTTGTAGTCCATAGCAAGGACGTGGGCTTTTCTTCTGAAGGACACAGGAAATCATTAGGGTGTAGAGCAGAAGAGTGACATGATCTGACTTCCTGGGGCAGGGAGGGGTCCTCTAAGTGTTGTTTTTTATAACTTTTTATTTTGAAATAGTTTTAAGACTCATAAGAAGTTGTGGAAATAGAACCAAGAGTTTTTGTGTTCACCCCGCTTCCCCGATGACAATATCTACACACCATAGAGTGTTCTGACTTCCATTTTTCCAAGGATCATCTGGCTGCTGCATGGGCAGAGCTGGAGCAGGCAGCAGGGCAGAAGCGGGAGGAGGGCTGGGGACACCTGAACGACCAGGCGAGAGGCAGTGGGCTGAGGTGGGATGGTGATAAAGGGGAAGGTGGAGGGTCAGATTCTGGACATGTTTCAAAAGTAGAGCTTGCTGTTTTTTCTCATATATGAAGTGTGGGATGAAAGAGAGACAGGAGCCAAGGATGGGTCCAGGATTTGGAGCCTGAGCAACTGGAAGGCTGGAGTGACTGTTTACTGCCATTCACTGAGAGGGGACATGGGGACAGAGGTGGTTTTGTGAGGTGAGGATTCAACAGTTGAGTTTTAGATATGATAGTTTTGAAATATAATTAGATACCTAAGTAGAGGTGTTGAGTAGCAGATAAATACGTGAGTCTGGAGATCAGGGAAGGTCTGGGCTGGTGACAGAAATTGGGAGTCTTCAGCATAGAAATGACATTTAATGCCATGGACTGGATGAGGTCCTAGGGGGTCAGTATAAATAGACAAGAAGCCAGAGGACTGAGCCTTAGGTCCCCAGCACCCAGAGAGCAGGAAGAGGAGGAGGAGTCAGCACAGGACTGGGCAGAAGCTGCCTTTCATGGAGGTGGCCAACCGAGAAAGAGCCGCGCCCTCACCTCCGTCCCTAGAGGGAGAATTCAAGAAGGACGAGCCACAAGTTGTGTCAAAAGCTGCTGATGGGGGCCGGCCCGGTGACGCACTGGATAAGTGCGCCGCTTGGGAAGTGCGGCAGCACTCCCGCCCGAGGGTTCGGATCCCACATACAGACCGGTTCCCACTCACTGGCTGAGCGAGGCGCGGGAGCAACACCGAGGGTTGCAATCCTGTTGCCGGTCCCCGGTCCGGTACAGGGGCAACACTGAGGGTTGCGATCCGTTGCCGGACACGGAAAAAGACAAAAGACAAAAAAAAAAAAAAGCTGCTGATGGGTCAAGGTGGAAGAGGACTGAGATGTGGCTGCATTGGGGAAGGTGAAGGTCATGGGCAGTTTCAGTGGGTGGTGGGGACTAAAGCTGGACTAGACTGGACTCAACAGGAAGAGAGACGCAGCAACGGTTTTGTTTGGGGTTGGTTTTCTTAAGATGCAGGAGCTGGTGGGGAGCTAGTATGCAGGAAGGAATGATCCCATGTCAAGCAGGACACTGCTGATGTGAGAGAGGGAGCCAAGGCTGGAGCTGGGTGTTAGATGGGTCGAGACAGAACAGGAGGAGCTGGTGGCGAGCCGGTGGGGTGCTTGAAACTGAGATAATGGTGGCACGAAGTCATCAGTAATGCCCAGGTCTACCGTGCAGCCACGGGATCAGTGGCCAGGGTGGGGTGGCGTGGAGGATGGGGTCACGTCGCTGCATTGAATTATCATCTGTGCTTCATGCTCTGTCACCCTCGCTGGAGTGGGAGGGCTGTGGTGATGGGACCTTATCACAGTCCTCCCGGAATCCCAGTCTCTGACACAGCACATGCACGTAGCAGGCCCTCAAGACATGGTTATGGACCTGAGCTGTTACACCCCTGTTTTGAAGATGAATGCAGGTCCCCCACAATAGTGACTCTAAAGTTTTACTGAATTCATCCCATCCAGGGAAGAGAAGCCGCCTCCCCAAGGTCATCTTAGAAGTGCAAGATATTGTCAGCCTGTCAGGCACAGCCCCTGGCTGATCGGCCTCTCCGTCAGCTGCCTCTCAGCTGCTATCTTGGGTGTAAGTTCAAATTACTCCGCTTGGTTCACCTGACCCCTCTGTCCTCTCCCCCGCATCTTGCTTCCTTCTGAACCACGTGTGACCTCCTTCTGTCCTTACTTCCTCCCTCAGCCACCCTCTGTACTCTTCCCTTCACCGAGGACCCCTCAACCCTTGCCCTCTCCCTGTCCCTGTTTCTCTCTTTCTTCAGCCCTCACCCCAAACCTGTCTACAGCTTCTGGCCTTGAGCGCTCAGGGCAGCTGCCTGGGGCTCTTCTGTGCTCTGCTCTGTTTTCCACAGGCTGGTCCCACCTTGCACATTTCAGAAACATGCCTGCAATCACCCAGGAGTCCACTCGGACCCCGACTTCCTCCTCCTCTCACTTCCCACATACCTTGGTGCTGGTCTCCTTCTGGTCCTCTTCTTTCAGCAAGGGGTGGGCTTCTTTGGCATGGCCGAAGGAGAAGGCTGTCAGCAAAGGAGCAGACTGGGATGAAGGCAAGGTGGGCCTCTCAGCAGTGGCAGACCTGCGCCTGATGGGTGTGGCCACAAGTTTTGGCTCTGAGGAGTCAAGAACAGAGACGGAGCTGAGGACACCCGGCACTCTCAGGCCGCCACTGAGCTCTCTGACCCCGTGGCTGGTGGGACTTGACCGCCTAAGCCCTCCACCCTCCATTCCTCCACCCAACACTTCCTTGATGGAGAAAGACACAAGTTAAATGTCCTCTACGGGGCAGCATTGGCAGGCATGGAACGGGCTGCCTGGGGAACTCATTCATTCATTCGTCCATTCATTAACACTTGCTGCACCCCTTATTCTAAGACAGGGGAGGGGGTGAGGAGGCTGGGCAGAAACCAGGGTCAGATCTGGTATCTGGTGTCTGGTATCTAAGAGGTCTAAGGTATTTCCTGAGACTATAAGTTTATCCTACTTGGGAGGTGTGTGTCTCAGGAAGAGAAAAAATAAAACGGGCCCACCAACCATTCTATGCCACTCCAGGCCTTTCTGAAACACAGCATGAANTTTGCACATTTCAGAAACATGCCTGCAATCACCCAGGAGTCCACTCGGACCCCGACTTCCTCCTCCTCTCACTTCCCACATACCTTGGTGCTGGTTTCCTTCTGGTCCTCTTCTTTCAGCAAGGGGTGGGCTTCTTTGGCATGGCCGAAGGAGAAGGCTGTCAGCAAAGGAGCAGACTGGGATGAAGGCAAGGTGGGCCTCTCAGCAGTGGCAGACCTGCGCCTGATGGGTGTGGCCACAAGTTTTGGCTCTGAGGAGTCAAGAACAGAGACGGAGCTGAGGACACCCGGCACTCTCAGGCCGCCACTGAGCTCTCTGACCCCGTGGCTGGTGGGACTTGACCGCCTAAGCCCTCCACCCTCCATTCCTCCACCCAACACTTCCTTGATGGAGAAAGACACAAGTTAAATGTCCTCTACGGGGCAGCATTGGCAGGCATGGAACGGGCTGCCTGGGGAACTCATTCATTCATTCGTCCATTCATTAACACTTGCTGCACCCCTTATTCTAAGACAGGGGAGGGGGTGAGGAGGCTGGACAGAAACCAGGGTCAGATCTGGTATCTGGTGTCTGGTATCTAAGAGGTCTAAGGTATTTCCTGAGACTATAAGTTTATCCTACTTGGGAGGTGTGTGTCTCAGGAAGAGAAAAAATAAAACGGGCCCACCAACCATTCTATGCCACTCCAGGCCTTTCTGAAACACAGCATGAAAGGGCAGAGGGGAAGGGGCCAGAGAACTAACACACGCTAGTCCCATCCTCTCATTTCACAGACAGAAAAGCTGTGGCCCAGTGACCTTCAGATGCTCCTGTGATCGATAAAATACAAATTCACTTCCAAATGACATCAAATCCATCGTTTCTCTTTGTCATATTTTCTCAATCAATGGATTTTAAAGGTACATTTCTTATTGTGGAGGCGGCGCAGGGCTAGGTTCATTCATTTTCTCCGGCTCACAAGGGTGGGAGCTCACCATCCTTGGGTGAACCTGCAAATCAGGGGCCGCCTGAGGCTGGAAAGAGCCTCTTGAGTCTGGGCCGCTCCAGAGCTCCCAGGTCACCCTGGTCTTCTGCCCAGCGCATGCCTTCTGCAAAGGGTCCCTCTTGGTGCAGAGAGAAGGATCAGTGGCCAAGGGGGAAGAGGGGCTTCCACCGGCCTGAGGTAAGAGGCAGGGCGGAGGGCACAGATGGTCAGGGACCAACCGACCAGGGCAAGGACCACAGGAAGGTCGTAAGATACAGGGAAGCCCTCAGCTTCAGGCAGTACCATGGGAGGCCCTACTGCATACTAAGCTCCTTGCACACAATGGGCAATGTTATCCCCAGCTGAGAGCTGGAGGATCAGAGGGCCCTTTAAGGACATTACTATTTTGTATCCCACTTCACCTACTCTCCAAGGGACACCCTAGAAAGACTGTCTGAGCAACCTGCTCCTGCCCACAGGCCCCTGGTAACCTGGTTCTTAAGCAGCTTGCGGGTGAGACAGAGGAGGGAGTTACTGGCTGGGGTCTCCTGCCCCACCCCGAACACCAGCATTCTCAGGGTTACCTCTTAAAGGACATCTGGGGTGCCAGTGTGTGTCACCACAGACTTCCCAAGCTCACCCTGCTGCAGCCTGTCCCAGGGGCTGGGGAGAAGCAACTGCCACGGAGGTGTCTGTGCCAGGCCTGCTGCTCAGGCTCAGCTTCCTGTCCCGATCTTGGGGCCTCTTAGGCAATAGTCTCCCCTCTTTGCCAACTGACCCACCTGCTGAGCTGATTAGCAGAGTGACCTGCCAGAAAGCTGGTCCTGGCAAGTCCTCCCCGCCGCCAGTCAGCACAGCAGCTGCCTGCAACTCCTACCGCCTGCAGCCTGGGCTCAGGGCGCCCTGTTCAGCCAACCCACAGACAGGCTGTGACCTCGCGTCCCCTGCCCTCCAGCCCAGGCTCGTCCTCCATTCACCCCATCCCGCCTCTCCACAGTTAGATCATCGGCTCGGAAAGGATCCCTCGTCCCTCTTTAAAAGCCTCCTGTTTTGTCCCTCTCCTCACTTCTATCCCCTGACATTGAAACCTTCTGGGAGCAACTGACTAAGGGGTTTGTGGGATGTGGTTTAATTTCTCACTCTGTACGATGAAGAATACGCTCCTCTACTGGCTTAAAACAGTGCAAGGGGCAGCTGCCCCACAGGTCAGAGCCCCAGCTTTGGAGCTGTGCGCACCCCAATGCAAAGCTGCTGGGGCTGTCTTCCACGCTCTGAAACCAGGGAGGACGCCTGGCTGGCTGAGCCTCAGTGCATCCCCTCATCTGTCAAACAACGGGGACAGCACCGTCTCACTCATCTGGGTCACTGTGAGCTACAGGAGCTGATGCGTGTCAACACGCCTGGCAGAGCAAGTGCCAATAAATACTGCTTCTCTTCCCCGCCCTCACCCAGGCTGGCCAGCATGGGACCACAGGTGACTTCAGCTTCCCGTCTGTGAAATAGGGCTCAGACACGAGAGTTCTCAGGTCTGCCTAATTCCGACTCCATGACCCAGTCCAGGAACACAGAGAGTCAGATAACAAGGTACGGGGGGGAGCAGAGTATGTGGAGATACGTACCCAGAGATTTCGGGGTCTTCTCACGAGGCCCACTCTCCCGAACAAATCTTAAAAGAAAAAAAGCACCATGAGAGACAGCAAGCTGGAGATGCTGCTGTGAGGAGCTCAGGGTAGCTCAGGGTGGGGACACGGGGACGGGGGCTAGGGTGGCCCTGTAGAGGCTCCTCTCCACCTGTCCGGGCCCTCTGCGTCCTCACCCCTGCAGACCCACCGCCTCGGGCGCTCACACCTTCTCCCCTGGATTCCTGCAACAGCCCCACTTTGATCTGCATTGCCCATGCTATTTTGTGGTTTCAAACATGGCCTTTCTACGTCATAGCTGATGTCACCTCCGCATCAAAAGGCCTGCAGTGGCACCTCGTTTCTTCAGGATAAAGCTCACTCCTCGGCTTAGCACGCGGGGCCTCAGCTCTGCTCACCTCGCAGCCCGTCTCCCAAATACGGGTGCGGCCCTGAAAACCCCTGCAGCTCTCGATGCCTCAGTCACTCCTCCTTCATGTCTCTCCCACTTCTCCATCTCCCTAACTCTCCCTCAGCCTTCAAAACTCCTCCAAGAAGTCTTCCCCTCCTGATTTAGATCATTCACCACTGACGGGCAGCCTCTATCTCAGCACCAGCCTCACTGGACTTCGACTCCATGATTTACTTGTACATCTCTCTCGTGAGCCCTTAGAGCACACAGACTGTCTTATTCAGCTCTGTTCTCACAGCACCTGGCACAGCACGTGGCATACAGTAGGTGCTTAATAGCTTAAAATGAATAAGTTGACGGATGAATGAATTTGATGGTAATGGAGTCTCCCTCCCACCTCCTGGGGTTTGCATGTGTCCCTCAAAGCTCACGTGTTGGAAACTTAATCCCCAATGCAACAGCGTTGGGAGGTGGGGCCTAATAAGGGGTGATTGGGTCTTGAGGGCTCTGCCCTCGTGAATGGATTAATGTCACTATCGCAGAAGTGGGCTTGTTATAAAAGCGAGCTCGGCCCCCTCTCGCTGTCTTGCCCTTCGGCCTTCTGCCATGGGATGACACAGCAAGAAGGCCCTCACCAGATGCCAGCGCCATGCTCTTGGACTTCCTGGCCTCCAGAACCATGAGCTGAATGAATTTTCGTTCATTATAAAATTAGCCAGTCTGTGGTATTCTATTATAGCAACATAAAACAGGCCAAGACACCACCCACTTGCTAGAGAGACTCACAGAGCCAGTGAAGAGAAACTCATGTCACAAGCTGACAGCAAATGGGCAGATATTTATTATGTAACTAACCCATGCCAGGTTCTACACTTGGCACAACAGGGAGCCACAGAGATTTTTGAGGTTATGATCCCTACCCTGTAGGGCTCCAAGTTAAAAGCAGAATGAAGTTTAAATTTAAAAAAATGAATAAAAGAAACAAAATAAAAATAAACAACCAAAGTTTGTTTATTTAGACTTAAATAAACAGAATAATGGAAGAGAGGTGGTCAGGCAGTCCATGGGCTGGATGCCAGGTGGGCAGTGCAGAGAAGGCCACCTCCCCTCCTTGCCACCCTTTATAGCAGGGGTGGATGTGGAGCTGTAGGCATGGACATGGGGAAGCAGCACTGGGAAGCGAGGCTCCCATGCAGAGTCTGCAGGGGTGGGAAGGTCCCTGCAGGGCAGCAGCACAGGAGGACAACTGTGGAGCCTGTGGAGCAACGTGGCTAGACCCTGAATGTCAGACCAAGCTGCAGGCACCAGGGTGTCAGTCAAGGTGAAGTGCTCAGAAGAGGTGTCCAGGAGGGTATGTGGAATGAGAGGTGGGGATGGACAGCAAAGGCTGCGTGGCACCGGGCAGGAGCTAGGGGAGCTGCAGAAGGAAGGAGCTGGCAAGTGCGACCCGAGAGGAAGAGGCAGGGGCGGGAAGGCGGTGGAGCCTTAGTGTGCTGCGGTGGTGGTGGAGGAAGACAGGAGGGCAGGTGGCAGTCTGCTGGGGACAGGAGGCACTAGGAGCAAGCGTCAACATGTGATACTGAGAATGAAGACCCAGGAGAATGCCTGCACTTTGACCAAAATAAGGTCCTGGGAGGGGGCAGTTTGGGGAACCATGAGGGGCTTCCTATTGCCCTGATGGTGGCACATGCCCCTGCTTCTCCCCTGGATGCTGATCCACGACAGCCATGAGAAACTGGAGAGCCCAACAGGAGGATGAAAACACAGAGCTCGACCTCTGGGGAGGTTCCAGGGCCGGAGCAGGGGGTGCGGAGTCACCCACACGGGCACAGAGTAGGGCCCCAGGGGAAAACAAGGGGACGGGAGCAAAGGGCCCCGAACAAATTTCGGGAATGGCCGCATTTAAGAGATGGATGAAAGAGGGCTCACAGGAGCCTGCTCAGAAGGCCAAGAGGCAGGTGTAAAGTCAGGAAGGCGAGGAGGCAGAAAAGTTCAAGGGCCATCAGTGGCTCAAACGATGTGAAAAAGTCAAGAGCGGTGAGACGGAGGAAAGTCCCCAGTCTGGGGCCCAAGAGTCATCACAAGCACCGATACTGCTGCTCAGAAGGAGCTAGAGGTAGACAGACATCTGCACAGGGAAGGAGGAGGGGACATGCGACAGGAGGAGGCAGAGGTCAGAGGAGCGGCAATTGTGTGAGAAGGCGGTCGGTGAAGACGGAGCAGAGAATTCCAGTCCAGGAGCAGCACACAGAGGGGTCCCCACACCCCAGCAGGGCTGGAGAAAGACGTGGACACGTGCTTGGACAGAGGGAGGACAGCTTAGGACACGGGGAGTGAGGACACTTGAGACACATGGGACAGTTCAGTGCACCAGGCCCCAAGAATGGGAGAGAGGCCAGTCACAGCAGAATGTGATTGTGACCACGCAGGGTGAGCCAGGCCCACAGGCCGTGAGCACACGTGCACACACTGTCCCACATGCATTCACACAGCACACACGAACACTCACGCACGCACATACACACGCATGCACTCACAGACACAAATACACACGTACACAAACACCCACGCACGCACTAGAACCAACACATACACACACTCACACGCACATACTCACACACACACACACACACACTTGCTCCAACATCAATCTGGGTTGACCTTGGGGATGTTTTTGGCCATCTGGAGAGTCTTGCCTGTCACACTTACAAGCCATAAACCCAGATTCGTTACAACACAGAGATCCTCTACCCCGCTGGTTCCCAACCTTTTCTGGGTAGAAGACACCTTTTTAAGTCCAAAAGTTTTAGTTGCCCGGCTAGCTCAGTCGGTAGAGCATGAGACTCTTAAGTCCAAAAGTTTTGTGATGTACCCTCCCACATACACATATGGTAATGGCTGTATTTTTAGTACCCATCAATTAAGAAAATACATAATAACAAAGAGCTAGCATGAATTCAATTGTGCTTTAAAATAATTTGGGTTTTATTCATCACCGTAGCAACTATATACATTAGGAAACTGGTAGAAGAGAGAGACCTGAGACACGATTGTGCCTACGGGAGCCAAGGATCAGAGAAACCTCAGAAGCAATGATCGGGCCTCCTGGGGTCTGTGGTTCAGGGGTGGGGGACCCTGCCCTTCCCACACCCAGTGCCCCCAAAGCTCTGCCCTGACACAGAGGCTCAGCCTTGAGGAGCTCAAGTGGATCTTTGGGGGACAGAGGGAGAGAAGACTGCAAAGTAGCTAGAGTCTTACCGTATGTGTGGGGCCGTCAGGCCTGTGGAGACATCCCGGCCAGGCAGTAGTGGGCTGGGAAGAGAGCCAGGCATGCAGGAGGAGGTCCCCGAGGGCAGCCCAGCCTTGGGGATAGGCGGAATCACGAGGCCTCCCAGCGACCTCTGCATCTTCTCGTCCTTGCAGTGCAGGTATTGAGGGGAGATCTGCACCTGGGAGCAGAGGTAGACGAGGGGTCTGGTCCATAGAAACATCCTACCTCGGTGCTCACCTCCCAGGTACCTCGCACAGGGGGTTTCTTCTACCAGGAGCCAGTGGGCAGAGTGCTGGAAAGTGGCCTCTGCTTTCTGTTTTCAACCGCACACCCTGGGGCTCCGGAAGGCTCACTGCTTCCTCACCACTCCGGCTGAGAAGACTGGCAAACCCTTTTGCTGTTATTATTATTATTTGATTTTCTGTTCTCATTTCAGAAAAATCCTAGATCAGAGCTAGAAGGGATCTTCAAAAATATCTGGTGCAAAACTCTATTTTTATAGATATGGGACAGGGGCCCAGAGAGGGGAGTGACTTGCCCAAGTTCACACAGCCAGGGATGGACAGAGCAGAAACCAAGGCCCAAATCTGACTCCTAACCCAGCATCCCCTCCCCTCTGTCACACTCCCCAGCTTAAAGTGGAGAGGGTCAGAGAGCAGGAGGAATTCCGGGACATTTACACCTGAGATGGCCTAGGGACCACCAATTCTAAGACAGGTGGCCATGCAGTCTCTGTACCTCTGGGCAGCCATCCAGAACTCCCAGGCCAGCTGCAAAGGCTTCGGACACTGTGGGAAAGGTGAGATCTCCCAGTTTCCCTCATCCTTGAGGGTACCCCGAGAGAGCTCCAGAGATGCTCAGGGCACAGGAACAGGGGTTGGTAAAGGATGGAAAGAAAGACAGAAGGACGGGCAGGTGTAAGAAGAAGCAGACCAGACTGAGAGTAGTCGAGCCACCTTACCTGCTGGGCACCAGGTCTAAGCTCCTGGGGACCCTGACTACTCCGGGGAGGGTCCAGGTCCCTCTCCTTGGCTCCACTGGCCTCAGGGGTGGTGGGGATGCTCTGGATGGGTGGCATCGGCCTGGAGACCCTCAGTAGCCTCTGAGAAGTGCCGCGAGGGATGGCGCTCCTCAGGGGACCTCCTCTGGGGCCTGCCCCAGAATCCAGAGAGGCTGTACATGGATGGGGGTGGGGAAGAAGAAGTCAGTCCCAGGAGAAGGGGCAGTGGGTGGGGGAGATTCAGGTGCTGGCGACAAGGCCTTACTTCCTGGAGAAGGTTGGGATCACAAGAGGAGAGGGCAGATCTCACAAGCAGACTGAGCAAAGCAGAAAAGTGTTCCATTCCTATAAAATTTGGTAGGAAGTACCAATCAAAGCCACCTATTTAAAATTCAGAGGTAATTGGATCATCACACATTGTATACATGTATTGAAATATAACTCTGTACGCCATAAATATGTGCAATCAGGACATGCCAAAAAATAAATACATAAATTTTTTTAAATAATAAAATAAAATAAAATTCACAGGCAGTGTGGATAGGAAGAAAAACAAAACCAGTGCTAGATTAGGAGTGAGGGCCACAGGTTCTGGCCCTGGATAGAAGCTGTGTGGCCTCAGGCAGGTCACTCTCTCTCTGAACCCCCAAGTGCTTTTCTATAAAATAGCGCCTTCACAAAGGTGCTGCAATATAATATATAAAATGCCAGGCAAGCACCTGGTAAATGACAGGAGCCTCCTGTTCTTTCTTTTCATCTAAGGATGTGGGGGTACAGCTGTTTTGACACAGGGTACACTACTGACATAGCCTGAAAGACATTAGCTCTTGTACTAATACTTTGTGTACCAAACAGACACCCTCTCTGCCCCCTGCCCACTCATCTCACACAGCAGGTCCCTGTCCCATCCCCAGGGTACAGGCACAGAGCATGAGGCATAGGACAGGCCAAGAGCTGAGGATTATCTTGCAAATATTGGTGGTGGTGGGAAAAAACAAAAAACAAAAGTAGCATTTTGATTTTCAAAGGCCATTGTGTTCCAGCTACATCAAAATGGCTACATCAAAACAACCAAGTGAAAATGTCTGCTCTGCTCCTGGCACACCCTCCTCCCTGGCCTGGGGCTGGCCTGCTTTGCCCTGGAGCACTGCTGTGTCATTGTCAGTCATGCTGGGGTGTTGGGAGCTGGAGAAGGAGGCATCACAATCCAGTCAAACAGAGACCAAGCGGAGACTGTGCCACCAACCTGGCCACCTTGGTCCCCACATGTGCAGTGGCACAGAGGAGCCTACACAGGGTGGCAATAGGGCAGCCCAGCCCTGCTCAGGGGCTGGAGGTCCCTGTCCCTCCACACTCGCTGAGCAACCTGATAAGTCGTAAGTCATTTCCCGTCTGTGCATTGGGTAGAACAACTCCTGTTCTTTTTTCCCACCTATGGAACTTCATAGAAACAAATGAAATCTCTAGAAAAAAGACTTCAGACCTCTAAGGAAGGGAGTCATTTGCCTGGCAGCTCCAGAAGTTGCACCACCTGGAAATTCTAAGCCAGCTTCTCAGACACCGCAACCGTCACCCACCCCCCACCGCCCCACCCCCCACCCCGGCTGCTTCCATAATGTCCAGCCAGGGTGACTGCTCAGTGCGGGCTCCCCACATCCTCCTGAACTCCAGGATCCAGCTCCTGAGCAGGAGATGCCCCCGTGGCTCGAAGAAGAAGCTTCCAGAAGGAGAGCAAGCTGCTCAGTGGAGAGCAGCAGCAGCCATTTCCAACTCCAAGCGTGACAGCAGAAACCACGGGCCCCTGGGGGGCATTTCCCCCGTTTCTTCCTAAGACTTCAAGGCTCCTTATTCCTCTTGTCACCCAAAAGTGCATCCAGCTAAAAAGCACCCAGTTACACGATGTGCCCAGGAGAAGAGGAAAGAAGGAAATTAACAATTTATTAAGTTCTTCTTTTATGTGCTGGGAATTCTGTGTACAATTTTTCACTGAACCCTCCCAGTTACACAGAACTATTAGCATCCGCATTACACAGAGTAGGGAGCTGAGGCTTTAAGGGTTAATGACTTGTTCAAAGTCCCAGAGCTAGTGAGTATCAGAGCTAAGATTTGAACCCGGCCTGTTGACCTGGCTTGTCCCCACCTGGGTGAGAGAGAAAGGGAAAAGTGTCTGCTGTCCAGTCCTTTGCTCAGCTACTCAACAAACATTTGAGAGCCTCCAAGGTGCTGACAACTACGCCTCACATTGAGGACTCAGTCCCTGCCTTCTTGGAGGTAACAATCAAGTGCAAGATTCATCTTTTAAATCAAGTAAATATACAAATGCAAACCATGAGAAGAAGTAAAGGAAAACCTACAGGGCATTATTAGAGAGTGTCACATGGGACGAGTTCAGACTAGGCAGTCAAGGAGGCCTCTCTGAGGATGGGTGGGATTAGCAGGCGGGGAGGTGGGGTGTGGGAGGCAGGAAGGAGCCCATGCTCCAGGGACTGGAAGGTCAGTCCATGTGTCTGCCAAACGGAGACCAAGGAGAGAAAGTGACACAGACAGGGGAGAGGCCAGGCCAGAGGGCTTTGTGCCTATGTGAACATTTGGGCTCTTTCTCTAAATGCATCCAAAATGCACTGGATGGCTTTAAGCATAGTTGGTGGGAGTGGGAGGAAGGTTTTTTTCTTCCCACAAATGTAAATTTTTCAGAATTTACAACATTTGCAAATTTACGACATGGACAAATTTACATTTGCTGAAGTGCCAAAGCATCCTTCTGGAGCAAAGACTAGAAGGAGCAAGGGTGGAAATGGGCAGGCCAATTGGGGAGCAACTTACTGCTGAGGCCCAGGAGGAAGATGAGCTCCAGGAAGGGAGCTGAGGCCCTGGAGGGCGGGTGCTTGGTGGGTGCCCACTGCCCAGCCCTGAATGGACCCCAGCATGCCACTGAATACTTGCTGATCCTCACAGCCAGGGCAGCCTGGGGTGCCTGACCTCGGGCTGGGTGGGTGCTGGGTGGGCGGGGGCCAGGGCTCACCTCGGGAAGACGCTGTCAAGCCTTCTGACAGCCTCCTTTTCTTGAGCTTGTCCTTGATCTGGGTGGTGTCCCGGGCCACGCTGTTGGTCTCTGACTCCAGTGAGAGGAGGGGCGCCAGGTGGCGGGACCCCAAAGACAGGTTCCCAAGGTTCCTGGGGTGACCATTCCTGGCCTGCCAGCCCTTCAAAGGGGCATCCAGTTTGAGGCTGCCCCGGTCCCCAGGTGCATTCAAGAGCTGTGACTGTGACGGCTCCTCGTTGCTCAGCAGGATGCTCGGCATGGGCTGCAGGGAAGCTGAGGGGGACAGGGGCATGAGAGGCTCGGCATGCAGTGCCCACAGTGGCACCAGGCACCAGCAAACCTGCTGGCGTTGCTTCCTTGGAACAGTCATCTGTGCCTAGTAAATCCCAGCCATTCAGTGTTTCAGTCACTACTGAGGGACACTCATCTATTCAACCGTGTCTGTGAAGCGTCTAAGCTGAACATGACCCATGTCATGAAGTACTCAGGGGATACAAAGGGAAATCACTATGCAGTCCTTTCACAGCACAGACAAGAGGCCATAAATACTTAGGAAAGGCCACCCGCTCAGGGTCCACCGTCCACCAATCTGCAGGATCCAACAAATCCATTCTGTATTATCGAGCACCTGATATACACCAAACACAGATTGAAAAGACAAGTTCAAGTGACTCAGGACAAATCCTGCTGACATGCAGACACACGTGTATCCAGTAAGTCATCCAACAAGCATTTAATAAGCATCTACTATGTGTCAAGAACTGCCCAGGCATGGAGATACAGAGACGATGATCCCCTTACTGGCCAGCTGCCCAAATAAGTGAACAAAAGAGATGGGTGATTGTTTGTCATGAAGGGACTTTAAATATATTAGGGAAATAAGATACATGCAGAAATTGAGTCAGTACAAGGTAAATATGAGCTGTGCCATAAAAAAGAGACAGAAGCAAAACGCTCTGTGCAGAGAGGAGGAGAAGAATTATCTGGGAGGTCTTCACGAAGTGGTGGCATTTGAGCTGGCCATGGAGGAGCCCTGGAACTAGGGGGAGCTGGGGAGAGCATAGACAGACAAGTCCTCAGAAGCTCTGCCACACCCGCAGCCTCCTGGTAGCCCCTTGACGTAAGCCACCAGACCCTGGTGCCCAGGCCACAGATACAGGCTGCACTGGCACCGGACCCAGGGAGAGCTGACCTCCAGGCCAGCCACAGGCCTGTGAGGGCGCTGGCCTGAAAGACGGCAAGTAACTAGAGTGATCAGATGCTCCATCCAAAGCAGTGGGATGGGAGCTTTGCAGGAAGGCAGTCTGCGGCTAGAAGCCAGAGCAGAAAGTCATGGAGCAGAAGTGTCGGAGAAGCCAAGTCGGTGTCAAGAAAATCACTACTCTGGTCTCTGTCACACTACAGGCTCCCACTTCCCCACTACCACCCTGGATGCAGCATGTTGTCCCAGGCCCTGAGGCTATGGGGCCCATAGGGTGCAGACCCTGTCTTCCTGGAGCTTGTGGGACTCTCCCTGGGACCCTAGGAGAGCCAGGCACATGCTGAGAGCCCCATGTCCCTATTTCTGGGAGTCTCCATCTGTACACCCCTATCCCCCAAGGCACAGTTGGAAGAACCTACCCAAAACTAAAGGACCTTTTCAGCAGGGGCCACAGGAAAAATAACACCAGCTGGTAGCTTGAGAACACAGCCAGGCAGCTGAACATGCCATTTCCTCCTCCAGGATGAGGCCCAATGACTGGGCAGCTGCCAAGTTGAGGCCACTCAGGGCACTCGAAGGCCATTTGGTGTGGCCCAGTCACTGGGCTGGGTCCTTCCAACTCACCTTCTCCATAAGCTGGCACATTGGAGGCAATGCTTGCAGGCGGGAGCACATGGGGCCCAGCTCTGGTCCGAGGGACACTCCCACAGTACACAGCCTCTGAAGCCAGAACCTTGGCTGGGAACAGAACCACAGCAGAGGGGCACCTTAGAGTCCTCTGAGCTCAGGACTGGCGAGCACTCTGCCCCTCAGGGTCTCTGCCAGAAGAACCAAGGGCAGGCAGTGGCCCAGCCCCCCACAGCAGCAGGTACCTGTGATCTCCAGCAGCCCTGCTCGCCCCAGCCCCTCATCCCAGCCCTCCCTCCTCACACTCTGCCTGCTTTCTCCTTCTGGCTCTGCTCCAAAGCCCCTGACCATCCATTTTCACAGCCTCCCCTCCTCCAGTGCTCCAACAATGCTGACCCTGGTGTGCCCTGCCCTGGCCTCTGTCCACTGCACTCCTCACACTAGCTACTCTACAAGGCCACCTCCTCACTGCCACCCACTGCAGGTGACCCCCTAACATGTGGCTTTGGCCCTGACCAATCCCCCAGTTGCAGAGCAGAGTCTCCACTACCCGGACACCTCCCTCTTATGAAAGTCCTCAAATGCCTCATCAGCACGTCCTGCACTGACCTTCCTTCTTGTCTCCCAGCCTCCCCCACTCAGCAAACAGCCTCATTTATCCCGCCGCAGATATTTGTCAGTGTGTGCTCCATGCAGGGCAGCAGCGGGCAAGGCTGACTCAGTCCTCAGTGGGACTTGAAGTCCAGTCGGCGGAGACAATAATTAACAAGCAGTAACTGTGTGGAGCCTGTGAGCCCTAGCCAAGGGTGGGACAGGGAAGGCTTCCCACAGAGAGGGGCCACTGAGCTGAGGCCACAACAGGAACAGGAGTCAGGAAAAGAGGAGCGGGAGGCTCAGCTAAGACATCGGCTCCTCTGAGAAGCCTTCCCTCCCCTGTGCTCCCACAGCCCCACGCATACCTTCCTTCATCTTGCAGTCCCTGGCTTCCTGGGGCAGGAACCCTGTCTTGTTTATCTTTGTAGCACCTGCCACTCAGCAGGCACTTAAATGTCAGTCCTGTGCCCTCATGGCTCAGCCCCTCCTGAGCACACCTCAGAACCATGCATGGGGCCCTAACCTACCATCTAGAGAAGCCCCTATGCAGGAAACCCAGCCCACCCACCCCCAGGCTGAAAGGCCCCTACACCAGTACTCAGGAGTCTGGGTTTGTGTTTCTGTCACCTGTGTGACTTTGAGAAAATAAGCTAACCTCTGTGAGTCACAGACCCACATCAGCAAAGCAATGAAGCTGGTCAGCACCAGGGTTCATGCAAAAACATCTTCATTCCATTTCTAGATTTGTAGGTTTTGCTTAAGTCTTCAGCACCTCCCACTTCTCCACCAGCATCTAAGGTCAGGTGGGAGCTGATTTAGCAGTGGGTTATGCAGTTGTTTTTATATTAATATGTCAGAGCCCCAGGGCGTCCTGCCCTGAGCATCAGGCCCTGTCCCCTGCACTGCCTTGCTCTCATCCTGGTTCTCTACCTGCCTTCCAATGGGCATCTGGCCTCTGCTCCGGCCCCTCCAGGGCAAAGCAGCTCTGCACCTTCAAGCCCCCATTTCCCCTGGATTTCCCAGAGAAAACTGACTCAGGCAGCCAGCTTCCCAAAGGCAGAGCTAGGCCTGGAGCCCCGGCTGCTGCCGCTAAGTGGCTACAATGCATTGTTCCCTCTCCCCTGCCAGGTCACCTGTGGAAACAGGACCCTCCACCGTCCCCGAGGCCCCGGCCTCACATCCTCTGCCCATCCACATACTTCTGACCAGAGAACGGCGTCAGCCCCTCAAGGAGCCAGCCCCCGCCTCAGAGAGCGGAGGCAAAGGTCAGGCCAAGTTCCTAGAACACTGCGCACCCATCCACGGGCCAGAGCCACCCAGACAGCCAGCTGAGCAGGCCGCACGAGTGACAGCCAGGGAGCGCTGGGCCGGGGTGGGGTGGCACCACGACCTGGCCACATCCCCAGCCAGAGCATGGCCCTGGGAGTATCCAAGAAAGACCCCACACCCTGGAGAACACCAGGAACAGGCCTCCCTTGGTGCCCCTTACCTGGGGGGACCTCGTCACGGGTGCCCATGCCCTGGGAGGAGAAGGTGCCCGCGGGGCTGTCCAGAGGCGGCAGCTGTTCCTGGGCCATGAGTGCGGTCCTCGGGGGGAGAGAGGCCTCCCACCCGGAACACCGGGGACCTACGGGGAGGGGCAGGGAGAAGCCAGTAAGAGCAAGTAGCAGACACTTTGAATCCGCTTCCCAGGAAGGCCACCAGGAGCTAAAGCACTGCTGTAGAGAACAAACTTGCCACTGGGCCGAAGGACACTCCTTTCCTGACATTTGGGCTCTCTCAGACGCTTCCAAGTTTCTAAGTACTGAGGCTGCTGGGCTCTGTGGAAGGGGCACTAGGCGGGGTGTCAGCGAGACCCATCAACCTGTCTTCCTTCGTCACCCGGACGTGGACACCTTGGAGGTCTCGGGGAAGGTGGAATGCCTGACACTTTGTTTTTCCATCAGTTCCTATTTTCTTCAAAAACCCATCACTGCACCTGCTGCCCTGAAAGCTCATGAACGTTGAGCCTTCGTGTCCCCACTCATCCCTGAGGTGTTTGGCGGGGTCTCCCCAGACACTGGCTGTCCGGTTTCCTCTCAGGACGCACCTGTCTCTACCTGCGTGAAGTGCTTGGTGCTCGTTCTCACAGCACTGCACAAGCCATACTCTGACCCTCTCGGCCGTTTCATTGTCCTGGGGCCAAGTGCTTGGCCACTCCAGCCTCTCCCCAGCCTCCCTTAAGTCTTTGGGGTCAGCCATCGGCTCTTGCCCTTGACCTAACTTCATTTTCTTTCCATGTGACAAATTCACACAATTCTATAAACTCTTTGCTGAGATAATGGTGACCCATTTTCCCCTGACAGGTAAAAGATGGACAGCCAGAAGTGATCGGTGGTAAAATCAGGGATAAAGCCCACACCTCCCAATTTCTACTCTGGAGAGTGGCTCCCTCCAGATATCACCTGAGGACAAGGCTGATACTGCACCCACTCCCTTTTGCTGAGCAACAAATCCCAGCTCGGGAGCTGAGAAACCTGCCTTCCATCCGGAAGCCTGTCTGCCACCGTCCCCACCAGGCCCCGGAAGGCAGAGCAGCTCCTAGCAACCCTTGGGCCAAACAAGGCAGCAGCTCAGCCCAGCCCAGCCCAGCCCCGCTGGGCCCTGGCCTGGTCTCACTGCTTAGGACCTCAAGCCACTTGAGTTCTCTGTCTGAGGAGAATTTTCCTCACAACCAGGGGAGAGGGCAACTCCCTGTCTGGTAACTACAGGGGTAAGAAGGGTTTGGCCACATGGTAGTGAGAAGCAGCCAAGACTGTCTGTGAGACACAGCACTTCTCCCAGCAAGATGGGGAAAGACGCTACTCCACAGGTACCAACACCCCAACCTCCACCCCAGTGAGCTGGGGAAGAGACTCAGGAGACTGGCAAGGCTTCCGGCTTCCCAGCAAAGCCCAGCAGGAATGTTTTAGGCTGAGACAGGCCATCCACAGCTGAATTTAGCAAACAAGCCGGAGCCCGGGGCTTTGGGGACCCTGAGAGTTGTGGGCCCCACCTGCTACCCACATCTCT